AAATTCAATAAAATATTAGATAATTGCTTAAAATGTTATTTTTTAAAAACAGCAACCGGATTAATTTCAAAATTGCACTGAAAAATTACAAGTCATCCCTTAAAAAATAAATATTAGGTGTAAATTTTTTCTTCCTATTCAATCTGAAAGAAAATAACGCACTTTATTAAATTATGTAAGCTTCAATTCTTAAAAAAAAAAAAAAAAAAAAAAAATTTTTTTTTTTTTTTTATTGAATTATTTTTTGTAAGACACTGGCTGAATTTCCCATATGTTCACACTTGATATTGCATAAATATTTTACTGAACTCATATCTTATTAACTATAAAATTTTGCCCTCCCCACCCAATTAAAAAGTACATGTGATATTGGAAAAGGCTGTGAAACACTCCTGAAAAATTTCCCTCCAAAGTTGTTTTAATAAAAAAAACTTATTCAGTAAAACATTTATTCATAAATAAGTACTAAAAATGTGATAATTTCCTGATTCTGGGAAAATATTTATTCAAAAGAAAAAAAATAAAAAAATAAATAAATTTAATTTTGAAGAAAAAAATGTTAATTTACAACTGGAAGAAAAATCTACAGCTGAAGAAACAAAGACAAGCAAAATTTCATGAATGTGCGCATGTAAAGGAATGTTAAATTCATGAATGCATACATGTATAAAATGGACTGAAAAAAGATGTAAAATGAATTGAAAAAATTGGAAATATTTAAAAAAAAACAGAACCCCTTGAAGAATGAACATTACCAAGAAACTTCAAAGTTGAGGAAAACAACAAAAAAATTGATATCTTTTTTATATATTATTTAAATTTAATTTATAATTGATTCATTTAAAAATCTGGTGGATTCATATTTAAAATTATTTGAATTTCATTTACTATTGAGTGCATATTTTTGTATGCTTGAGCATACAAATTACAATAGTGATTGCAATCACTAATGACATCATGTATGGCAGCCATTATAATGTGACATTTATTGTCGTGATAATGCGCACAAATGATGATGCACTGTTGTAGTTGCAAATGCTTTCCCTGAATTTGACGAAACTATATTATTGAAAAAGTTATATACACATGCATGTTCAGGACTAATTGAAATTTTAGTAGCAGACTTTAGTAGAACATTTACCTGCTAGTATAAAATGAGTGAATATATAACGAAAATGGATATTTAGAAGAGTAAGCTGGCATTGTAAATATTTTTGGATAAGTAAATCTATCTTTCAGACCTCTCCACGTGGTGTTTAAGAACTCTGTTAAAAGTATTTTCACGCGAGTAATTAAAATTGCAAAGAAGCACGCACAAGTAATTTATTTTCAACAATTTTGACAGTGAGTAAACAGTACTTAAGTTCATAATTTAATCTAAAAATCAGTGTTATAAAAACTGTGGAATTTCCATGTGTACAGTTAGTTACTATTTATGTTCTATCTCTTGATACTGAGCACTTTAATTACAAAAACATTTTGTTACCTTCCAGAAATATCCTGGTTGACTTAAATATATGGTTGGTGCATAATTATCAGGCGTTTTTGTATGCAAGGTAATTTGTTAAAGATATTTTATTTTCAGGTTATAAAAATGCATGTCTATAATCATGCTCATTTAAAAATGTTATTTGTTGAATTGTTAAGTTGCTAGTTTCATAATAAATATTGTTTAAAAATGCCTGATAATTATGTACCAACCATATATATATATATATATATATATATACACACACACACATCTATCTTACCAGTTTGTGACTGGAAGGGATAATTTTGAGGAGTATATAAATCCAGGGAGAGCTCAATGTAGACCCTAGAGCATTATAATGATGACTGAGACTTTAATTATTCATTTCAATTATAATTTTGTGAACAGAGGTGTTCAACTCTTCGGATCAAAATCTCCTCAATAAATGGAGAAAATACACTAGATGGACACATTAGATTGGTAGTGGGGAGGGAAGATGAAAGAGAAGGGATGAGTAAAGAGAGGGCTAAGGGATTAGTAGTAGTCGATTCACTCGCCAAAAATTTTAAGAAAATTTTGGCTGTTTCATGCTTGAGCGCAATCTTCAGACTGTGTGCTGTGTTTTGGCTTGAATTTATATATGCTGGTCAAGGGTGCATTATGGGTGGCAAGGTCTATTAGATTATCATAATGGTTATATTTCAAATTATTCTAGAGGCTACTAAGTAGAAATAATTGTGGATCTAATTGTGGTTATTTGTAGCTAATTTATAGTGATGTTAATTTTTTACTCATTATTTATTACTTAATAATTTGTTGTTTGTTATTTTTATTATTATATTTGCTTGTATTTATGCATACATTAGTAGCTTGTTATATATGTGTGTCTGCGTGTGTGTGTGATCAAAAAAATCTAAAAATAATTAAATATCTCCAAATTAGAGAAAGAACAGATGGAGTAAAAATCCAGTGTTCATAGCATTTACTTTTAAAAAGTGCTCAGAACAAAGTAGAGCATTATTATTATATTTTTATTATAAGAGTTTACAATAAAAAAAACATCATGTTTCAATACTATGATTGTACTTCTTCAGGTGATGGTAAGTAACTGGTGATCAAATGATTTTTATGGAAATTCAAAAACAAAGTGTTACCTCTTTTCTGAAAGTTAAAGTTTGGGGGCATAAGGTTAGAATTAAAAATAGACTTGTGGGTAGGTCTCTAGATTAACTAATTATATGTCAGATCTATGCTAAATAGAAAAGTAAGCTCAGAGGATAGAGGTGGGCAAGTTATTTTTTTATGTCATGATGAACTGGCACATAGACATGCTGTGGCAGGGAGTTGAGATCCCCCTTAAACAAATTCATGCCATCGGCACTTTCTTATATGATTTAGTTTTGCCTTCAACCAACTCTTGCAAAGCCATACGGTGATAGGGAATAGATGAAATGTAATATTTCCAATAAGCAAATTACTCTGCTGCATTTGAAAACTAATATTACATTTAGTTTAAAATATTGCAGAAATTCATTTTTTAACATGTAGGTAGATGTTTATTTAAGGTGTTGAAAGATTTATCGACAGCCTGATAGCTTATTGACACCTGGAAATTTAAAAAATTTTCTTCTATGGGTGACTTATCTAAAAATTACTTGAGGAATACAACGCGACATATCTGTAAAAATTACTTGAGGAATATAATGTGAGCACCCTTTATATAAAACTTAACTACCCAGTAATCTTTAAAACTTGGGAAAATATTCTCCGTAATCTAATGTTTTATTGAATTTTAGGTACTTTTTAAATTTACTATAGTTACTGTTCTTATTTTCTGATAATGCTGTGTATAGCCACTCATATTTACAAAAAGTTAAGTTAGTTATCTGATGAGCATTTTTGAATATCACTCTTGGCAATGGTTCACCTTTTTTAAGAGTTTTATAATGAGCTTTACCAAACTAGTATGTGTGATAAAAAGTTGAGTTTAGTGCTTAAATCACTTTTCACTCCCCCACTTCAATGCAGCCATCTTTAGGGATATGACCTTTCAGTTTGTGGAGAGTAGAGAGTGACAGAGTTGTAACAGCTTTTAATTCATGTCAGTTGAAATTTAAAAAAAAAAAAAAAGAAAACAAGTGCTTTCCTCAATGTGGTTTATTTTCACCATTTACTTTGGTTTAATTTGATTATGGTGTTCCTGGGATCTAAGGGATTTTTAGATAACATGGAAACTCAATGTTTGTAAATGTTATTCAGAGAGTTTAAAAAATAAAAAAAAAATAAAAAGATTCTTAACTGCATGTGTTGAAAAAGGCATGTTTTTTTTTGTCCAATATTTTGTTTTTTGTTTGAATTTGCTTCGAGATCAAAAATAAAACCAGCAGATTTCTACAGTGAAATACTATTCTCTTTAACTGGCCCGTCCTGGGTATGATGATAAACTACATCTGCGTCCTGGATAAGACGACAAACTACGCCCAACAGCAAAGCCTCTGATCAGTAGGTTTTGAGGAGTGTGGAACCACCTCTTAATTGCTGGTTTTCCGAGATCCAACCTGACCCAGGGTGGTAGCACCTGTTAGAGTCCCAGCTATGGGCAAATAGTTAACCTGGGGTCAAAACATGTAAAAATAGTTTTTAATACCAGCAATAAATTAAAAAAAAAAAAAAAATAAAAAATTACCAACAATATAACTTTTGTCAGCATTAAATAACCCGTTGAGGTTGATATGCCGTAAAACAAAACAAACCTTTAACTTGCCAATTTCAGGATTAAAAATAGCAAATTTAGAGAAAAAAAAAGAAAGAAAATTATCTGCTACTCATATGACCACAAAATGCCAAAAGCAATGTCCTAAAGACAGAATTTAAGGATTTCTTGCAATTTGATCTTCTAAATATATAAATTATCTACTGATCAATTGACCATGTTCAAAGCAAAAAATCCCATTTATGCCTAGGCAAATGAACATTAACAAACCCTCCCTGAAGCATAAGAGCATATCAAGTATCAATCATGCCAAACTAACATTAAATGAAACTGTCACTTTCAGCTTTTATACAAAACTACAATCCATGTTTAAAGCATACATGATAGTTTTTTTTGGTAATTAAGAGTATTTTACTTGATTAATTTGAACACTATCTCCTCATGCTTTTAAGAGTCTCTTTTTTATTAAGATAACCATCCCAATGCAACACTCTGCATTTGTTTCCTCGACTTGAGAGGCATCAATAATTTCCTTGTGATAGATTGTATTTGTTGCCCAAATTAATGTTATGCTGAATTTTAGAATTGTTTTTAAAGCCAACAAATTTAGCACGAAACAGAATTGGAATCATCAAACTATATATAGCAAAGTTGAACACTGTCTCCAAGTACATTTTTTTGTGCATTTCTTTCAAATTCTACTGGAGTGAAATTTGTATACTAAATTTATTTAGAATTTTTTTAAACATTGATAAAAAAATTAAAAAAATGGAGTAATACATAGAAATATCAAATTTAGTTGGGAAATATAAACATTTAGATATTGGGAAGAGAAGAGAGAGAGAGGAGACGGGACGGAGGGGAGAGAGAGAGAGAGAGAGAGGAGATGGGGGGAGAGAGAGAGAGAGAGAGAGGAGACGGGACGGAGGGGAGAGAGAGAGAGAGAGAGGAGACGGGACGGAGGGGAGAGAGAGAGAGAGAGAGAGGAGACGGGACGGAGGGGGAGAGAGAGAGAGAGAGGAGACGGACGGAGGGGGAGAGAGAGAGAGAGAGAGGAGACGGACGGAGGGGAGAGAGAGAGAGAGAGAGGAGACGGGACGGAGGGGAGAGAGAGAGAGAGAGAGGAGACGGGACTGGAGGGGAGAGAGAGAGAGAGAGATGGAGACGGGACGGAGGGGAGAGAGAGAGAGAGAGACGGGACGGAGGGGAGAGAGAGAGAGGGAGACGGGACGGGGGGGAGAGAGAGAGGAGACGGAGGGGGGGAGAGAGAGGGGAGAGAGGAGACGGAGGGGAGAGAGAGAGAGAGAGAGAGGAGACGGGACAGAGGCGTAGAGAGAGACGAGGCAAGGAGGGGAGAGAGATTAGATGAGATGAGATGAGACAGGATGGGACGGGACGGAGGGGGGGGGGGATGGACGGGACGGAGGTGAGAGAGAGAGAGAGAGACGAGACGGAGGGGAGAGAGAGACGAGACGGAGGTGAGAGAGACGAGACGAGGTGAGAGAGAGAGAGAGACGAGACGGAGGTGAGAGAGAGAGAGAGAGACGAGACGGAGGTGGAGAGAGAGAGAGAGACGAGACGGAGGTGAGAGAGAGAGACGAGACGGAGGTGAGAGAGAGAGAGAGAGAGACGGAGGTGAGAGAGAGAGAGAGAGAGACGGAGGTGAGAGAGAGAGAGACGAGACGGAGGTGAGAGAGAGAGAGACGAGACGGAGGGAGGAGAGAGAGAGAGACGAGACGGAGGGGAGAGAGAGAGAGAGACGAGACGGAGGTGAGAGAGAGAGACGGGACGGGACGGAGGTGAGAGAGAGAGAGACGGACGGGACGGAGGTGAGAGAGAGAGAGACGGGACGGGAGGTGAGAGAGAGAGACGGGACGGGACGGAGGTGAGAGAGAGAGAGACGGGACGGAGGAGAGAGAGAGAGACGGGACGGAGGTGAGAGAGACGGGACGGAGGTGAGAGAGAGACGGGACGGAGGTGAGAGAGAGACGGGGAGGGGGGAGAGAGAGACGGGACGGAGGGAGAGAGAGAGAGACGGGACGGAGGAGAGAGAGAGAGGCGGGACGGAGGGAGAGAGAGAGAGGCGGGACGGAGGTGAGAGAGAGAGAGGCGGGACGGGACGGAGGTGGGAGAGAGACGGGACGGACGGAGGTGGGAGAGACGGACGGACGGAGGGAGAGAGACGGACGGGACGGAGGTGGGAGAGAGACGGACGGGACGGAGGTGGGAGAGAGACGGACGGGACGGAGGTGGGAGAGAGACGGGACGGGACGGAGGTGGGAGAGAGACGGGACGGAGGTGGGAGAGAGACGGGACGGAGGGGAGGAAACAAAAAGGAGTAGATAAAGAGGGCAAGTAAAACAAGAGAGGAGCAAAAAAGAAGAATGAGTGATAGTGAGAGAGAAAAAGTAGTTGGTGGGAGGAGAAGAGTGGTACACAAAGGAAAGAACTTATAGGTAAAATAAGCAGAGGGGAGAAGATCATAAGTAGAGGAGCGAAAGAGAAAAGTAAACAAGAAAGTGAGGAGGAATAGAGGAAAAAAATCTAAAAATAAAAACAGGGAAATTAAAATAGAAGAAGTGGAGATCAAATGAAGAGAATGGCCCATTGAAATAAATGAACAGGAGAGAAAATAAGGAGTCTGCAAATAAAAGAAAAACTGACATTTATTACACGTTTATAATTAATATCATTTTATTAACATGGTTTCTCTAACAGGTCTGTATAAAAAGCAGCAACATGTCCGAATTATTGTTAAATTGATACCAATGAAAACAACAACAAGAATAGAACCAGAAATTAGAACAGAGGGAATGATTGATTATATATAAAGCAATTCTTATACCCAGTTCATTATATTTCTACTCAGCTTCAATGAATTAAGCAAACCTGCTCCATTTAGCCACCTGCTACAATCACCACAATTATTAGGCTGAGGCAAAAGTTCCCAACATTATCTTTAGTCCAATATTAAAGATATTTTACAAGTGCCTTTGACATTTATTCAACTCTCTATTGCTTGTGAGGGTGTGTATACTTGAAAAGAATTGATTGTAGAAAAGTGATCATTTTAGTTATTTCAGTGAAAATTGTGGCTGGATATAAAATGCACATTCTATGCCTTTGTTCTTTAATTTGGGGGTGCTAAAGTTCAAAACAAACAGAACGATAGAACATTGAAGAAAATGGTATTGATTCACACAGTGCAATATTGGGAATGATTCACAAACATTCAAAAAGGATATTTTATTACCAAGGACAAAATTAAGAAACTTAATAAGGAAAGGTGAATCAGTCAATCTGTTTTGAATGATACACTGGAAAATAAAAGATGTTTTTTTTCTGGATAAGGAAGTTGATCTGATTTTGTCACTCTCTTGTGGTATTGCCAATGAAATGCAGCAAACAGTTATGAAATTGAGACAGGACATTTGTTTATATGTTGTATATTCTTCAAACTTGTTACCTTAAGACAAGCACTTATTTTACTCTATACAACTGCTCTTGTTTAATCAAGGTATTCTTTGAATGAAAACTGGAATCTTTCTTTTGTGATAAAATATATATATTTTTCTTAACATTTATTTTGTTAGATTAAAAAGAATTACCTTGAGCTTCGTGATAAAATCCAAAGAAGAATCAACAATATTATTGGTCCTGATCTGGTAGCTCAGCTTCAGTCACATTCTCACTGCTGTAAGGTTGCCTTAGTGCCTTTTCTATAAATATTTCATGGTAATTGTTCAGATGTGCTCTTTGCTATCGTACCTAGACTTTTTGTATTTAAGCACAGTACTAGACTGGTGTCAAGAACTTATCAATTTACAGTTGAGCTGGCTAGATGTAGCAGCAAGATTTTATTAGTTTCCTCTTATGAGCCACTTTTTAAGATTGTATCAAATTGAGAGTGGCTCATAGAAACAAGAAAAAATTGAGCTAGCATTTATGAGTTGAAGCGAATATGTTTTCCTCTGCAATAATGAATGGCAATGTTCTACAAACAACATTGCAAAAACTTAAAAACCCTAGGTCATGAACCTTATCCATCATACTTCCCAGATAGGTCACCCATCAATTAGCATTTCTTTCACCCCCCCCCAATATTTTTTTGTTAACTGATGTCTGTCTGTAGGCAAAGAATAGATCAATGGTTACTTCTCAGTGACTAAATTGCAGGTAGACTGATTTTAAGCATAAGTGAACGGAACACAAAATGAGGAGAAGGTGCAAATTTCTAAAAGTCATTTTGCACTTAACGAGTAAATTAGCAAAAATGTTAATGTTTTTTTGTGCCGAACAAAATATTTAGACAAATTTTAAGGTAAAAAGGATTCAGCAACAAAAAATTTAGATTCCTAAAATCATTTGAAAAAGGTCTTGGCAAGTAAAATGCGAAAGTACTATTGTAAAAACAAATTGTGTTCCTTGCAGAAATGTAGAGACAAACTGTTATTCATATGTATATGTAAACAAACAATGCATCCCTCATCCAGCTTTCTACTGACTGGCCTGTGACTACTCCCCACCCCACACATATATTGCATATCCATTCATGTTTGTGTGCATCAAAAATTGGGGAGGGTTTGCTAAAGCTCACAAGGAAACTAAAGATGAAAACAAACATCATGGTGAGAAATAAGGACTTGAACCCTATTTTTAATCTATTTAGGTGTTTTATTCAGGGCTTTACTTGTCTTTTAGGTAGGTGCCACTTGGGACAAGTTCTGCCATGCTGGACTCAAAACTCAACTCTTCTCTCATCAACTTTCTGCCCATCTCAACATCACAACCAGTGGCCAGTAACACAAATGAGTGACACGGAAACTAACAGGAAAACTTTGTTCTCTGCCAAGAGTGGACCAGAACTGACATCTTCAATCCCAATTGTGATGTAATATAGACCAGCAACTCATCAATATCTGGCTTGTTGTTACTTGACCTCAAAACTCCTCATCCATTCATCTATTTTTCTGTACCCTTTTGGTTGAGTGGGTGCTGCTTTAAAGACCATTTGCCAGCCATAAAATAGAAACACTTGAGATTTAGATAAAAATCACTTTCCTCGTCTAAGTGGTTGCCCTCAATCACAGTGCCACAGATAATGATGCTTGTAAATAAATCTACCGTTTAAGGATGAACTTTTAAAAATGTCATTTTCTGAACAATCTATCTTCTAAATCATCAGTTAAAAATTTACCAAAGTTTTTTTGAGGAAATCTTTCATGAAATTCAAATTGTTCTTTGAATTATAGAGAAAACAAACATGATCCAGACATGTCTTATATTTTATTAAACAAAAATCAAGAAATATCCAGGATATGTTTTATGTAAAGCTGATCCCTAGGAGGGAGGATTCTTTAAAAACATCAAATTATAGAACTGATCTGATTATAAACACCAAGATGACATTATCATCAAGTACAAAAACTTAGAATTAGAAGTCAGCTTTTTATTTTTAAGTGCCATGACTCTTCTGGACATGGATAATCATGGCCCTCTACAGTTTCTTTTTGTTAATAAATGAATTGCCATGCTTCTTGAGAAAGATAAAGTGGAGCAGTTCCCCATTACCTTATCCAAAATTTTGAATTCCAAGTTCTCCTCCTCCTAGACTGGCAGCCCTAATAAGGCTATAGAACCTAGTCTATTCTGCTATTTAACCCAGAGCAAAAAAAAAAAAAAAAAAAAAAAACGATAACAACAAATAAACAGCTTCAGCAGAAATTTGAACTATGTCTGCCAATTCCATTTTCCAGACAGCCAGTAAAACACACATCCAAGATGAATCTTCAATCTTCCATAGTACTAATTTCCTAAAAAGGATCTTCTTCACAGATCACTAACATTTTAAACCAATCTAATTGCAATGCATATGTGTGTTTGTTGCCATGACAATCCACTAGCAGCTTAACGCATAGGTGGGAGAATTGATCCCCGGACACTGACCACAGATTATTGCCCAAGTAAAGCATGATGGACAGTTGTTATGTAATTGATAACAGACGATAATTAGAAACAGAATGCAGTGTACATTTTGTAATGAGAGTCTTTCAGTTACAAATTGGTTTCACATAGCAATTTTTTTCTTTTTGGTCATCGTCACTGTCCTTATTCAAAGACTGTAGATTGCATAGCAACTGGTTTCTGAGAAGAGAATAAACAATAATTCAGCTATTTATCATGTTGAATTTCCATGTAGATATTTCAAGATATGATACAGATGACAAATAATGTTGATTATGAAGAATTATTTGCTTCAAATTATGATAGGTCAATAAACAACAGATAAAACAACATAAGAGATTATGTTATAAAAATACTGTAAAAAAAAAAAAAAGAAAGGGTAAGGTTATATTAGCATGATTTTTTTTTTTTTAATATGAAAATTCTATGCAGGCCTTTGAAAGTTCCAAGATGGTCATAAAAATGGTAATATTTCCTTATAAGAAAACCTTTGGTATTCATTTGTTTTCAAATTTATAGAGAATAAGCACAAATGTGTGTCATTTAAGATTTGTGAAATTCTAAAATCCTGAATATTGCAAGGAGACTAATCAGAAAACAATATTAGCTGCTTTCTTATAAGGAAAAATTTGGCATTCATTGGCCAATCAATCAGCCATTGCTACTTTTAGTTGGAATTTATAAAAAAAAAATATATATTAAAATAACTTTTTTTCAGGAAAATAGATTTCTGAAGCCTAGTTATCTTTCTTACTAGTATCATTGGGTGGTTTCTTTCCTACCCTTTTGTTTGAATTAGTGTGGAATGTCAGCATTTTAATTATATGATTATTTTCTCATCAAGTTACATGTACTAACTGTTGTAGTTGCTACTGCTAAAAGTCATCAAGTGATGTGGTTTCTGTTCGAGTTACTTGTGATTCCATAGCACCACTCCATAAAGTTTAAAGAAGGACTAACTGATTGTGTTTTTTTTATTTTTTTATGTCTTATCAACCCATTGTAGGCTATTTAAAGCACACACATTTTGGATTGTAAGAAAAAATTTTGGGGGAGTTAAACTAACATTAAATTTCTTGGAGATAATGATTTTTCCAGATACAAGTCTTACTATTTAACCCATCAGAAAATAGAGTAATGTTCTCATCCTTCTATTTTCAACACCTTACCTAAGGTCAAAGATATTTGTCCTAAACTCCGCAGAAAGTTAGTCACACCTTACATTGTAAGCATTTCACTTAATTAGCACTATTAGTTTTTTTTTTTTTAAAAAAAAAAAAAAACTGCATTTATTGGTCATTTTTTAGAACAAAGATGACTAATTACAGTATTTGAAGTAAAACTATCCTAAGTTGGCAGCAATAACCTTTTCGCATGATGAAGCTTAATCTGAATTTGGCAGCAGAGCCGAATGTTTTAGTTTTTTTGCCCAAACCAATTCTTGCTATTAATTTGCCAAAACAGGAGGAAAAAAATGTGTCAAATTAACCATAACTACTGCAATAATATAAAGAATGAAT